ACCACTCCGCCTCGTCACTGGGCGCGAGTCTTAGTGGTCAGTGCGAAGTTATCCTTTGCTCCCACGGCCAGGGAAGGCCCCCCCCCGAGAAGCTGTCCTGTCTGCTGCTCAAAACTTTCGCACAGGGCCGCCCCAAATCTCCCCATGCCTCTATGGCATCGAACAAAAGCCGAGATGACATTTTTTCTTGACTCGGCCTCTGCAATGCAGCCTCGAACAACAAAACATTAAGACGGCAGTCTTTCGTGATTTTCGGCCTCTGGGGGCCCTCGCCGGGCCCCGGGACCGTCAAACAACGACTCGGGATGCGGAAGCGGCCCCAGGGAAGGGGTCTGGGCTTCCCCGGACCGCGCATTGGTAAGATCGAGGCATCGGAAGTCCCGGCCCGACGACCTGCTGATTTTTGCAGTCGGGGGGCTTTCCCCTACGCCGGGCCCCTGTAAGCAGACAGTCACTTGGCGAAGCGGGTGGTGCGCACCGCAGATGGCGCGCCCAAGGATGGGGCCCTCCGCCGGCGCAGGGGGAGACCACGGCAGCCGTGGGCGCAACCCGTGCATAGTCTCGGACATCTGAGTAGCTGCAGCATTTTGTGCCCATATTCTCTCCTCCCTTCCCCTCCTCCTCCTCCTCCGCCTCCTCCTCCTCCTCCTCCTCCACAATTACTCAATATGAAAATACTCTCCCTCTTCCCCTGATGGCGTCCGGGTGATGGCCGCGCACCCTCCGCGTACTGTTTTTTTACACAGGATGCCCGGAAAATCCCGGGAAACGACTCTCGCTGAGGCGCCGGCGTCATTTTTTCCCCAAATGCTGCTCTCGTTGAGGCGCCGGCCTCATTTCTGCTCCCGAATCGTTCCGAATCGTGCTCCCGCTGCAGCGTGGGCCTCATTTTCGGATCGGTGTTTGGCCTCCGTCGTTCAGGATGGCGTTCTCGCCCCAGCGCGGGCCTCTTTCTCGCGCGCCCATCCGCCCGCCACCACCGCGCCGCACCACCACCACCACCACCACCACCACCACCACCACCACCACCACCACCAGCACCAGCACCAGCACCCACCCACCCACCACCACCAGCACCCACCAGCACCACCACAGCACCACACCACCACCACCACCACCACACACCACCACCACCACCACCACCCACCACCACCACCACCACCACCACCACCACCACCACCACCACCACCACCACCACACCACCACCACCACCACCACCACCACCACCACCACCACCACCACCACCACCACACCACCACCACCACCACCACCACCACCACCACCACCACCACCACCACCACCACCACCACCACCACCACCACCACCACCACCACCACCACGACAACCACGCACACACGCACGCACGCACGCACGTGCACCACCACCCACTACGCACGCGCGCGCGGAGCCACAGGTCCGCTACGACACGCGTCCGCGGATAGAGAAAATCAGCGCCATGGTAAGGGATGGGAGGGACGGGTAGGACGTCAGATATGACGCGAGCGCACCTAGCTTGTCCTCCTCCCCCTCCGCCTCCGCCTCCGCCTCCGCCTCCTCCTCCTCCTTCTCCTCCTCCTCCTAGAGGCGCCAGCTGCGGCTTCGGAGGAATGCACAGCTTGTCTTGTCCTGGGGCCATACAAGATCGGCGGATCCAGGACGAACCAAAACCCTGGTGTCCCTGGGGGCTGGACGACTCTTCGCCGATCGACCTGTGTGGGGCGATCACACCGGACAATCCAATGTGCATGCAGATCGATCGATCACCACCTTGGCACATCCATGACGGGCCTGTTTTCCACCACCACCATAAGTTGGAGGGGGAGAGGAGGTGGAGTACGAGGAGGAGGAGAAGGAGGAGGAGGAGGAGGATGACACCCTCCCCCTACAACTTATGGCGACGGTGGTGGAAAACAGGCCCATCAATCCAGGTGCATCCAGGCACATGCAGAGATCTCCGAGGGAACTCGAAGCAGATCCGTGGCCGCTCCCGCGCGAGGCGAGGGCCGACGGAAGTCATGGAGCCCCATGACGACGGGCCTGAGGGGTTCGGGCCCTCTGGGGGCCGCGCGCTGCAGAAGCCGCGTCGTCACACGTCTCGGGCTGCGGCGCGGTGCCCAGGCCGCCGCGCGCCTCTCCCGGGCCGTCTTGGGGAGCAGCGATCTCGGGGGCCCCCAGACGGGGTGGTGACCACACCGTGCGGTGAGTCGGTGGGGATTCGGGGTCACCGCACGGTTTTGGGACTCGGGTCCCTCTCCGAGGATGCCTCGGGCGACAGGGGCCTCCAGGGTCCGAAGACCGTGCGGTGACGGACCGTGCGGTGAGGTCTCTTGTGGTCTGTCACCACGGTTTTGGGAGTCCCAACGATCACAACGATCACAACGCTCACAAGTATAACAACGAGCTATTCACGATAGCAACGACAATATCCGTTGTTATCGTTGTTCTCGTCGTTCTCATTGTTATCGTTGTTACCGTATCGTTGTAATCGTTGTCGTTGCGAACGTTATAGTCGTTGTTATCGTTGTTATTGTTGTCGGTGTGCTCAGGGTAGCCATGGTAATCGGGCGTCATGGAGTGCTGATCGGGCGTCGTTGACGGGGCCTGTGTGTCGCCGTTCAGAACGGACGGCGGTCGTTGGAACCTGGACTCAGGAATTCTGGCGTTGTTGAACGCGGTCGATGTAAAGCCAATCTTGAAGTCGGAATGCAACGCACTTGCGCCTATCGTGCAGACCATCGGCTTTTTTCATCAGTGTCACCACACCCCTCCACACCACGCCATTTTACGACCTCCCAGTTGGAGGGCGTCCTTGACCATCCTGGAGGCCATCCTGGGCGTGTCGGAGGCGAGTTTTCTTGACTGTTGGTTGGTTTGGGGTGCTGGCAGGTTAGGTCTCAAAGTTTTGGTTTTGGAAGGGCCAAACCATGACGTATGACGTCTCACCACCCCTCCAGCACGGGGGCGGCGGATCTGGTGGGTTTCTGGCCATCCTGCCAGTCAATGCAGAGAATTCGGAGGGACCCGAGGACGCTCCGCTCAGAGCTTACGGCACAGTGGCAAGCAGTGGCGATCTCGAGGCCGGTGCAGCACAAGCCGGGAGCAAATCGCGCAATCCCGTCCTCTCTCCCTCTTCCTCGTTCCGGTCCGTTTCAGTCCCCCCCGCGCCTCTCCTCGCCTCGTCTTCTGTCTGCTGTCCTCTCTCCCCTGCAGATGATTCCTTGCACGTTGCTTGACTGTGAATGCTGTGCCCACGTTCACCACTTCACGGGGAAGGTGGCGCTATGAGTAGTAATGTAATCGCATCAGCGGGTTTTAGCTTTGATTTGGCATCGGCGAGGTGGCCATCAAGAATTCCCTGGACATTTTCTATTTCAACGTGCCGTTCGACTTGTCCGTGGCTCTCGTGGAGAGTGGCGCAATCGGGTGCGACGGGGTTGCATGCACGCTGCGAGTGCATGGCAAATGCTTTAGAGTGAAGGGATTGTGGGGTGTGGTCGTGATGATGGGTGTACGGTAGCCTTGGCTGGTGTGCACTCAACAGCGGTTGACACCTGTTTTCGGGAAGAGTTGGATCGCCCCATTTCGAAAGGCCTCGCAGCAGCGGACAAGAGAGGGGGAAGGCGCACGGCTCTGCTGGCATCTCCTCCGAACGCCTCGCGCGAGCTCACACACAGAACTTTTGAACTATAGCAATATGCACATATATATATATATGTATATATGTAGTTAATTGGTATGTGATAAATTGAAGAACGCACTCTGCACACCACCAGGCAGCTGGTTGTACACGATGTGTGGACTGCCTGGGCGCTGCGTGAAAGCACGTGCGTTCGTATGGCTTTCCAGTGCTTTTGTCGTCGTGTGGCCGCACGCTCACACGCGCATCCGTCCGCGTGCCCCTGTGCATGCTCCGCAAGCGAACCCCGCCGCGTGTGCTTCCAGCTTTCGGGTACTTGCTTGCTGCCTCCCCACGCCGACTCCCCCTGCTACCCCCTCCATGCCAACGGCTCAAGACTTGGCCTGATCTGCACGTGCAGCTCTAGAGGCAAACAACAACCGTTTAGGCACCACCTCTCTACCCCAATCTCTCTCTCTCTCTGAAGCATCACCGATTAACATGTGCCCGTTCTGTAGGATGAATCAGATAGGAATCATATGGCACCGACCGCAGCTGAAATGCTACACGGCGTGGACGCAATCTTATTGCACAGGGGTGATGCGTTCGTCGACGAATGCGACCTCTTCGGCTCACTACTGTTCGATTTAGATACCAACAAATGCCCACACCGTGCCCTCACGGATGCGCCGGAGGAGCCAGGGTAGAGCGAGTAGAAGCGATGCAGAAGAGGAGAAGGGAGGACCACGGGGAGGAGGAAGGTGTGCGTGCAGGCGCAGTCGAAGCTCACAGTAAGGTTGAATACTTTTCAAAGGGTTACAGTCGGACCGAGGTATACGATCGAGGTCGGTTCGGGGAGGGTGCCCTAGTGTTCTTCGTCTTTGTTGGATGTTCTTGTGCACCTGAGGAGGGTACCCTTGGATGTTCTGTGTGTTTTGGCCGACGGAGCGTCTCATGTTTTGTGTGTTTTGGCCGACTGCAGCGTCCTGACAATCATGAATCGTGCCAGAACGCTGTTCCTTGGGCATCAACCCGACGAATCCTTGAAACAAGCTTTCGAGACGATTGTGCGCGGCGCTAAGGCGAGAACCACATTTTGAAAAGGAACCGCCCTCCCTCCTTGAAGCTGTTGGAAACTAGGATGAATGTGCAGCATTTTGAACTTCATCCTATTCTCAGGCTTATGTGCGTGGCGCTAAGAAGAGAGCCATATTTTGACAACCACCCGCCCTGCATCTGTGAAACGGGTGTAAGTTCTAAGTTTCAGGACCATGCGTTGTCAGGAAATCCCAGGCGAAACGCCTGGCCCTCCCTACCGACACGTCTGAGGGTGCGACAGAGAGGAGTTGTTTGTGAGGAAGAGGGATTTCGGATGATGATGGTGATAATGCTGCTGCTGCTGATGATGATGATGATGACGACAGTGAGGGTGAGGATGAAGGTGAGGATGACGATGACGATGATGATGCTGATGATGATGATGATGATCATGGTGATGACGATGGTGCTGATTTTGACTATGATGATGCTGCTGATACTGATGATGATGATGCTGCTGATGATGATCATGGTGATGATGATGATGAAGATGATGATGATGATGATGATGATGATGATGAGGATGATGATGGTGACGATGCTGATGATGATGATGATGATGCTTATAATGATGATGGTGATGCTGATGATGATGCTGATGCTGCTGATGATGCTGATGATGCTGATGATGAGGACGACAATGCAGATGATGATTTTGATGCTGATGATTATGATGATGATGCTGATGATCACGATGTTGACGTTGTTGATGATGATGCTGATCATGACGGTAACGATGATGATGATGGATGATGATGATGATGATGATGGTGCTGATAATGCTGAGGATCATGATGGTGATGACCATGATGATGGTGATGATGCTGATGCTGCTGCTGCAGGTGGTGGTGATGATGATGCTGATGATGTTGATGGTGATGGTGATGATGTTTGATGATCATGATTCTGCTCATGCTGATGATGAAGGGTGATGATGATGGTGGTAATGATGCTGGTGATGGTCATGGTGATGATGATGCTGATGATGATTATGATGATGATGACTATGATAATGATGTCGGTGATGATGATGAAGATGACGACGACAATGATGATGACGATGATGATGATAATCATGTTGTTCATGTTGATGCTGATGATGATCATGCTGCTGCTGCTGATGATGATGGTGGTGGTGATGATGATGCTGATGACGGTGATGATGAAGATGATGATGCTGCTGATGATGATGACGATGATGATTATGCTGGTGATGCTGATGCTGCTGCTGCTGATGATGATGATGATGATGCTGATGATGATGATGATGATGATGATGATGATGATGATGATGATGATGATGATGATGATGAGGAGGATGCTCGTTGAGGAGGAGGGCGGAATAGGAGGAGCAGGAGGAGGAGGAGGAGGAACACGCCATTATATTGAGAAGGTACAAGGGTGAGCAGGTCACGGGTTGGGAGGAACTGGAAGGAGCCAGAGCGATAAGTGGAGGATGAGGTGGATCAGGACAAGGAGGAAGAGGACGAGGACGGGAGTGAGGACCCCCTCCGGCTATTCTTACCTCTTCCTAGTGCTGCTCTTTTCCTCCAAACAAGAGAGAGGCGGGGGCAAAGTCATTTTCCTGGCGAAGAACCTAACCCATTGCGAACGCGTGGCGGCTATCAGCAGGAGCGTTCAATTCACATTAACTTATTGTCGAGAGACCTGTAGTACGCCAGAACACTTCACCAAAGAACGCAAGGCCACACTCAACGCCCCCCATTCACGCACGTGCTCTCACAGCTCAGATCGGACACTGAAAGACGACGAGTGTGCCACGGAGCCACGAAAAGTGCGAGTGGTGCGCCGAAGTGCACCCGAGGCGCCACGCGAACCCTGCCGCTAGAGCCCTCGGGGGAGCTTTCTTTGGGGCCACGAAGCGTTGCGAGGGACGTGCCGAGCTGGACCAGAGGCGCCGAGGCGCCATGCGAGTTCTGCCGCTGAGGCCCTCGGCGGAGCTCCCCGTGGGGCCACGAAGCGCTGTGAGGGGTGTGCCGAAGTGGACCCGAGGCGCCCTGTGAGCCCTGCCACTGGAGCCTTCGGTGGAGCTCCCTGGCTAGGCCACGAAGCGCGCGAGGAGTGCTCTGAAACTCATCCGAGGCGCCCTGCGAACCCTGCCACTGGAGCCCTCGGTGGAGCTCCCCTGCGGAACGACGAAGCATGTGAGGGGTGCACCAGAAAGAATCCGAGGCGCCATGCGAACCCAGCCACTTGGGCCTTCGGTGGGGCTCCCTATGGGGCCACGAGACGTGTGTGGTGTGGCGAAACGGTGATGATCATGCTGGTGGTGGTAATGAGCATGAAGATGATGCTGCTGCTGCTGCTGCTGCTGCTGCTGCTGACGACGACGACGACGACGACGACGACGACGACGACGACGATGATGATGATGATGATGATGATGATGATGATGATGATGATGATGATGATGATGATGATGATGATGATGATGATGATGATGATGATGATGATGATGATGATGCTGATGCTGATGCTGATGCTGATGCTGATGCTGCTGCTGATGATGATGATGATGATGATGATGATGATGGTGATGATGATGATGATGACGGCGATGAGGATGATGCGGATGATAAGGGTGACAGGAGGGGGAGGTGGGAAGGAAAAGGAGTGGTTCGGGCGCGGCGCTGCGAGATCAAAACGAGGACCCAACACGCAGGAGGGTTTGGAACATATGTTCGAGGGAGAGTTGGCAGGTTATGGTTTTGTTATTCATTGTTTTGCCGATCGGCGCGGGCCCTCGCACCCCCCCCTCCCCCCCTACATGGGTTAGATCTTGGCTGTTTTTGGCGCCTGTTTCGTGCAGGTGGAGTCTCCCCTGTCGGACGCACTGTTGCAAACAGTCGCGCCAAGCAGAGATCCAGAGCCAGACCCCCCCTCTCCCCCCTCCTGCCGCTCAATGTCGAAATGCCGAATACGAAAACGTTCACCAGACGAGACGGAGGAGGGAGCGGACGCAGAGGGGGGGCCAGGCGCGACCAGTTCACCGGGATATGGCAGAGGGTCGGGGAAGCTGGCCAGCACACCACCACCATCAACGTGGACAGGCTGCCCCCGCCTGCGTCGTCTTCGTCTTCATCTTTGTCGTCGTCGTTGTCGTCGTCATCGAGGTTTGTCGTCGTCGCACGCCGCGTTGTCGTCTTCGCTCGGCGGGCGAGCACTCTCTCGTGCACTTTCCGCGCATGCCCTCTCGCCCGTCCTACCACTAGGCCAGCTAAGGCCCAGGCGATACAGAGGCAGGAAGAGAGGGACATACAGAAAACAGGCGAGATCTCGAGATGACACCAGAGTCGGCGGTGGGCCCGGGTGGGAAGGCAGAGGGGGCAGGCCTTCTTAGAAGGCGCCTGGGCTTCTCATGAGTCCTACCGCCTTTGAGAAGCCTTCCAAGCCTCCTTCGAAGCCACACGTGGCCTCTCAGGAGGCGAGGGGGCTCATGAGAAGCCCCGCCGCCTTCTGAGAAGGCGACCCTGGTTTTCGGGCCCTGCTCTGGCCTCCGCTGGCCGTTCGGGGCGATCCGGGCACCCTCGGAACGCTCTGGGCGAGACTGCTGGAACCCATCCCGAGGCAAGAACCCCTCCAGCAGCCGACGCAGACGTCCGAAGACTCGAATCGATATCGGATCTGGTCGATCGGATCGAAGTGGACTCCCCCTCCCTGTAGCCACCAGGGCGCGCCGCTGGGCCGGCAGAGACGGTCACCCCGTGGGCGGCCCACACCTGCCGTTGTGCTTTCCGTGCTCCGGCTCGTACAGTGGAGGCCAGTTCACAAGAAACCTTCCACACGAAGCCCAACCCTGAGACCCCAGGACGTCCATTGACTTTTGGCGTCGGAACGTCGCGCCTTCCATAGAAAAACATCGAAGCCCAAGAAACCCGGGGCACCCTGGAGGCAAGCAGGGTGTTTCTTGGCATGGGCCTCCACTGTACGTACACGTTCAAGGACTTCAAGCCCCGAGCGCGCTCCGCCTCCTCCCCCCGCGCCCCCGCCTCCCTTTGCCGAGGTGCCCAGCTAGTTCGGCCCTGCAGTGCCCCTCGGCTGCCTCCGACCGCTGCGTGGATCCGCGCCGCGGCGACCATCGAGCGGGGCGAGGACGAGGTCAAGTCCGTTCCAGAGCGTTCTGGGACGCTCTCGAAGCGTTCCGGAACGCGCTGAGAAGGCCGCGACGCTGGATGCATCCTCCAGGGCCGCCGGATTTCAGAGATCCTCGATGTTCGGCCACGCGCAGGGGGGTGGTAGGGGGAGGGCGGAAGGCTTCGCAGAAGCACCCCTGTTTCTCAGGAGGCGCGGGCCTTGTCTATAGACGAGGCCCGGGCCTTCTGAGAAGCAGCCTCCTTCTAAGCAGCCTTCCCCCCTCCTCCTTAACCCCTTTTGCGCGCCGACAAGATGCATCCTCACCCGACTTTGTCCTCGCCCTGGGCCAAAAGCAGCGGGGGCGGCCTCGCTCGGACGAGCCGCCGGCGGGGGCGCGCACGGCCCGCGCGGCGTGGTGGAGGGCGTCGCTCGCCCGAGGGGCAAGAGGAGGAGAAAAAACACACAGACAACTCATCGGCGACTCCCAGGGAAGAATATCAGAAATTCTGGGACGTGGGGGTGAAGACGAAAATCCAGAGAATATGGGGAGGAGGAGGAGGAGGAGGAGGAGGGAGGAGGAGAGGAGGAGGAGGAGGAGGAGGAGGAGGAGGGAGGAGGAGGAGGAGGAGGAGGAGGAGGAGGAGGAGGAGGAGGAGGAGGAGGAGGAGGAGGAGGAGGAGGAGGAGGAGGACGAGAGGAGGATATGGGCAATCCTTGCATTTGTGTCCTGTCAAGTTGTGTGTCCCTGGGCCCCTCTGGGGAGGGCGAGGCTCGGCGCCCCACTGTCCCGGCAGTCGAGCGCCCCCGGCCAGGAGCCGGGCGGCCGGGCGCCACGGGGGCCCCTGAGCGGTCAGGGTCAGGGGAGGAAAGACCACCCCTTCTCCTCCTGCTCCTTCTCCTGCTCCTCCTCCTCTTGCTCCACCTCCACCTCCACCTCCTGCTCCTCATCCTGCTCCTCCTCCTCCTCTGCTCCTCCTGCCCTCCTGCTGCTCACTCCGCCTCCTGCTCCTGCTCATCCTGCTACTTCCTCATGCTTGCTCCTCCTGCTCCGCCTGCTCACTCCTGCTCCTCCTCCTCCTCCTCCTCCCCTCCTCCTCCTCCTCCTCCTCTTGCTCCTCCTCCTCCTCCTCCTCCTCCTTCCTCCTCTCCACCTCCACCTCCGGACCTCCAACTCCACCTCCACCGTCCTGCTCCTCATCCTGCTCCTCCTCCTCCTCCTCCTTCCTCCTCCTCCTCCTCTCCTCCTCCTCTGCTCTGGCTCCTCCTGGTGCTCGGCTGCTCCTCTCCTGCCAAACGAACGGCGGGTGCTCTCCCATATGCTGCTCCTCCTGCTCCTCCTCCTCCTCCCTCTCTCTCCTTCTCTCCTCCTCCTCCTCCTCCGCCTCCTCCTCCTGCTTCTACCTCCTCCTCCTCCACCTCCCCCTGCCCCTCCTGCTCCTCATCCTGCTCCTCCTCTCCTCACTTCCTCCCTCCTCTGCTCCTCCTGCTCCTCCTGGCTGCTCCTCCTCCTCCTCCTGCTCCTGCTCCTCCTTCTACTCCTCATGCGCTCCTCCTGCTCCTCCTCCTCCTCCTCCCTCCTGCTTCTCCTTCCTCCTCTCCTCCTCCTCCTCCTCCTCCTCCTCCCTTGCTCCTCCTCCTCTCCTCCTCTTCCTCCTTCCTCCTCCTCCTCCTCCACCTCCACCTCCCCTCCACCTCACCTTCCACCTCCACAATCCTGCTCCACCCCCTGCCCTGCTCCTCCTCCTCCTCCTCCTCCTCCTCCTCCTCCTCCTCCTCTTCCTCTGCTCCTCCTGCTCCTCATCCTGCTCCTCCTCCTCCTGCTCCTCCTCCTCCTCCTCCTCCTCTGCTACTCCTGCTCTTCCTGCTGCTCCTCCTCCTCCTGCTCCTGCTCATCCTGCTACTCCTCATGCTGCTCCTCCTGCTCCTCCTGCTCCTCCTGCTTCTCCTCCTCCTCCTCCTCCTCCTCCTGCTCCTCCTGCTCCTCCTCAACCTCCACCTCCACCTCCTGCGCCTCATCCTGCTTCTCCTCCTCCTCCTCTGCTCCTCCTGCTCCTCATCCCGCTCCTCCTCCTCTGCTCCTCCTGCTCCTCCTGCTGCTCCTCCTCCTCCTGCTCCTGTTCATCCTGCTACTCCTCATGCTGCTCCTCTGCTCCTCCTGCTCCTCTGCTCCTCCTGCTGCTCTCCTCCTCCTGCTCCTGCTCCTGCTCCTGCTCATGCTGCTCCTCCTGCTCCCTCCTCCTGCTGCTCCTCCTGCTGCTCCTCCTCCTCCTTCCTCCTCCTCTCCTCCTCCCTGCTCCTCCTCCTTCTCCCTCCTCCTCCTGCTCCTCCTGCTGCTCCTCCTCCTCCTGCTCCTCCTGCTCCTCCTCCTGCTCCTCCTCCTGCTCCTCCTCCTCCTCTTCCTCCTCCTCCTCCTCCTCCTCCTCCCTCATTGGCGTTTCCTGAACGGCTCTGGGCGTTTACTAAGCAGCCCTGCCCTGTTCGATACCTTCCCCTGGTGCGTTTGCTAGATAGCCTCGCTTGTCGGGGTGCTCTCTCGTGAGGGTGGGTTTTTGGCTCCCGATTAGGGGGACCACCCACCGAACCACCCCAACCCAACCCGAAGGCCCCAAGTTGCCCTCCATTCCCAGTGGGGGGGGGCGTCGGGGAACACTGAAGCAACACGTGTGGAACCCGTACCCCCCCACCCGAAATTCGGGTCTTCGGATGGGCTGGGGTGGTGTGGTGAGCAGTCAGTTAGGGGCTCACGCAGCTCGAAGGAGAACAAACGGCCTAGCAGTTTGCCTACTGCAGGTCGGCTTGTACCGTGTTCCTGGTTTGCCTGGCGACGTTTTGAATCGTGATGCGGTCAGGTCACACGGTATGTTTCGCGAGGGACAGGAAGAGTAGACAGCATGAACATGAATTGTAGCTGCGCGTGGATCTGATTTCTTGGATTTGCACCGAACCCCCCTGCCTTCGCGCGCCAGGGAGGATGGTTTGGCGCAGATCCCAGATATCCGCGCAGACCTCCAAAAGTTTCTGGTTGTGCAGTTTTTTTTTGGTTCCTCCACCAGCGTCGGGGACCCCCGGACGCTCGGGGGCTCACGCAACGGGGGTCATGCCAGCCAATCCCCTCCGAGATCCCGGGCTTGGAGGAGGAGGAGGAGGAGGAGGAGGTCTTCCCCACTCTTCCCCACCCTGCCTCTTTCTTTGTCTTTCTTCTTCTTCTTCTTCTCATTCTCATTCACGTTCTTCTTCGGAAGAAGCTCTTCCTCCATCGTTCTTCTTCTCCTTCTTCTTCTTCTTCTTCCTCTTGTTTTCTTCTTCTTCTTCTTCCTCCTCTTTCTACTATTCTTTCTCTTCTTCTCCCACCCAGAGCCGACCCCGGGCTCGGTTGGCTGAGCATCGTGGCCGGCCTGCGCTCGCGGCGTGGGGCCCTGGCTGGCCCGGGCTCGGGGGGCCGTGCCAGGAGTGCCCCCCCCCCCAGGAGCTCCGAGGAGGCCCCCTCGGGGGTGGATAGACCTCCTACCCTGACACGTCGATTAGCGAATTGGCCGTTTTCGGTTCGCGAGAGGGCGTCGCGGCCGTCATTTTTGCGGGTCCAGGTCCGTTGGTTTCGGTCCTAGGCCGTTTTCTCTAAATGGAGGTCTACCTACTAAGGGGAGGTTTGTCCACCGCCGACCCCCAGGGCCTCCAGGGCATCGTTTCGATTCCTCCGATCCGATGCGACTCGATTTCGGTGGCTTCCGGTTCCGATCCAGCTTTCGACTCTGGGCTCCGATGTGGGTTCCGATGTCTTATTGGATGTGCACGAGCCTGCCGATGTCTACCGATCCGACTTTTCCCGACTCGGCTGCCGATTTCTGCCGATACGATTCATTTCGATCGCCGATTTGATTCTGGGGCTTCCGCCCCTCACGAGGCCCAGGGGGCCCCAGGGGCTCCACGAGGGAGCGAGAAGCTGGGGGCACCCTGGGCCAGGGGCACCTCGAGCAACTCCCCCCGAGGGTTGGTGCGGAGCCGAACCAGTGCGTCCCCGGACGGGGCGGTGGCCACACCCCAGACGTGCTCGCGTCCAGAGAAAAGCAGGGCAGGAGGCTCTTGATCGTTGTGGGCCTCTTGGGGCTCTTACCCAGCCCCAGGGCCGTCGAAAAACGGCTCAGGATCAAACGCCAGTCTCGTGGAAAGGGTCGGGGCTTCCGGCGGCCTGTGAATTTCTGAAGCAGTCCGGACATCGCCTGTCTTGGACCGTGCGGTTAGTCGCTGGGGATTCCGGGTCACCGCGCGGCTTTGGGACTCGGGGTGATCTCCGAGGACATTTGGGGGCGGCTGGGGCCCCCCTATGTCCCAAAGCCACGTGAGCGGCGCAAGAACAGGGTCGCCTTCACGGGCATGGGCGCGTAAGCTGCCCGCGCAAGGCAAGGCGTCAGCGCCCTCGCTTCCGGTGCAGCGTGCCGCGCTGGCGACCTGCGCAAGCCAGCGCGAGAGGTCGCTGTGTCTCCTCCTTGCGCGGACCCGTTTCCTCTCGTCGCTCGTGTGGTGACGGGCGTGCGGTGGTGTCGTTCGGGGGTGGACAGAACCCCCAACAGTGACACGTCGATTAAAGAATTGGCCGTTTTCGGTTCTCGAGAGGGCGCCGTGGCCTTTATTTTCCAGGCTTGCGCCCGCCAGGTTTGGGCCTCAGGTCGTTTTCACTAAACCACGTTCTACTAAAGGGGGGTCTGTCCAAGCCCGTGTCGTGGGGGACTCCCAGGCTGCCACACGGTCCGTCACCAGACGGACGGTCCGTCACCGGACGGACGGTTCGTCACCAGGCGGCTCTGGGGGCCCCGGAGGCGGGGGGGGCGGCGCCGAGCACGCCGAGCTCCTCCGCACGCCGGGCGGCTCCAAGGGACCCCCCCCGCGCTTTCCACTGCCAGAGTTTGCCCACATGCATCGCCTCGGAGTCGGGCTCTGGGACCCCGCGGACCTCTCGAGGAGCGGCGTATGTATATGTATATATACATTTATATGTATATATATACATTTATATATGTATATTTTATATATGTGTATATGAATATATATATATATATATATATATATATATTCATATATATATATATATATATATATTTGTTTAAACATATAGATATATAGGTATGAATGTTTATTTGTGTATATCTTCACATATGCACATATACGTAGATATACACATTTATATGGAAAGCTGCCCGCCCCTGTAGGCGGAAGAGTATAGCTATCCACCGCTCCCCTGGGGCCCTGGACAGGACGCTGGCAGCGGTGGACGTGGGGACGTTTCCTGGCGAGGGATGGGTATCGGTATCGGTGTCTCTTCCGTCCTCCGATGCCCGCCGCGGAAACGCTGAGAGCCGGACGCCCCTTGAGGAGGCGCGGCTCGGCGCAGAGCGGTGCCGAGCTCCCTCCGCGCCCCCCCGAGCTGCTCGGCCCCGCCCGCCGCGTGCCCCCGCCGCGGAGGCCGATCAACGCCGAGACCGCGCGAAGTAGACTCACCCCGGGCAACGTGCACTACGTGGCCCAGCGACAGGCGGGCGCGTCGGGCTCTCTCCCCCGCCTCTCTCTCTCTCTCTCTCTCCCCCTTCTCTCTCTCTTTGCCTCCCTTTCCCCTTCTCCATGTGTGTATGACTCCTCCAATCTCGGCCCCTCCCCCCTCCTTCCCGCCCCGTAATTGCCCACAGGACGGCGGCGGCCACAGGTGTGATCAGCTGCTCTCGCTCACGGCGGTGGAGCGACCACGGAGCTTCCGGGCCCCGGTCAGGGCCAAGCGGGCTCAGGTCGAAGTCACAGGTGATGGCGTCGTTGCCGGGTGGGCGGTTCGTTCGGGACACTCACCCAGCAGGGCGAACAGCTGCGCGCCCGCCGCATATCCGTTTCGGCACACCCCTCACACGTCTCGTAGCCGCATAGAGAGCTCCGCCAACGGCTCCAGTGGCAGGGTTCACACGTGGCTCCCTACCCACCGCATGTCCAGTTCGGCCCACCCCTCACACGCTTCGTGGCTCTATAGGGAGCTCCACCGAAGGCCCCAGTGGTAGGGTTCGTATGCGGCTCCCCGCCCACCGCGTGTCCATTTCGGCACGCTCCTCACACGTTTCGTGGCCCCATAGGGGGCACAACCGAAGGTCCCAGTGGCAGGGCTCACACGCGGGTCCCCGCCCACCGCTTGTCCATTCTGGCACACCCCCTCGATTCGTGGCCCCATGCGGAGCTCCACCGAAGGCTCCAGTAGCGGGGTTCGCATTCGGCTCCACGCCCACTGCATTTCCATTTCGGCACACCGCTCTCACGTTTCGTGGCCCCATAAGGAGCTCCATCGAAAGCCCCAGTAGCAGGGTTGACATGCGGCCCCCGCCCATCGCGTGTCCATTTCGGCACACTCCTCACACGTCTCGTGGCCGCATAGAGAGCTCCGCCGAAGGCTTCAGTGGCAGGGTTCGCATGCGTCTCCCTGCCCATCGCATGTCCATTTCGGCTCACCGCTCACACATTTCGTGGCCCCGTTGGGAGCTCCACCGAAGGCCCCAGTGGTAGGGTTCGCATTCGGCTCCACGCCCACATCATGTCCACTTCGGCATACCCATCACGCGTTTCATGGCCCCGTAGGGAGCTCCACCGAAGGCCCCAGTGCCAGGGATCGCATGCAGCGTCCCGCCCGCCGCATGTACATCCCTCGCACGTTTCGTGGCCACATAGGAAGCTCCACCGAGGACGATACTCATAACTGCGTCACTCACAATTGCATATGGTTGAGTCCCTCGTCAAGATATTTTTTCAGTTTTGTTTGAGTTCTTTGCTGTCACGGCGCTGTTCATGGATGGAGGGTGCTGCACGACGCCCGGCAGCTGTCAAGCACCATTTGGCTTCACCGCTTTGGAGTTCTTTGTCGCCCGCTTCGTGTCCAGTTTGTCAGTCTGCGTGGAGGAGCCCATATACCCTCTGGGCGTCCCTGACCGTCGGCGTCACGCAAGTCCTCCCAGGTTCCTCCTCCTCCTCCTCCTCCTCCTCCTCCTCCTCCTTCTCTCGCTTCCCATCGTCGTCGTCGTCGTCGTCGTCGTCGTCGTCGCTGTCGTCGTCGTCGTCGTCGTCGTCGTCGTCGTCGTCGTCGTCGTCGTGCTTCACCTGCTCCTCCCTCTCCCACCCCTCTCATCCTCTGCCATCCCTCCGTCATCCTTCGGCGCTTACTGGACACCTCCTGGACTCTATGCAGTGATCCTAGCCGTCATGCCGCCGTGAGGTCAAGTCTTGGGGAGCCAGCCACTACATCGCTATTGCTTGTTATGGGTCTTGCGTGTATATGTTCATAGCGTGACGTGCTTTGTGGTGTAGTACATGTGCGCAATGGTTCCGCGTTCCAGAAGGCAGGCAGCGTCGCCTACATATGCATTTCGTAGTAGAGTAGTTGATCACTGCGTGACCCCTCACTCGGTGATGTCTTACAAGTACTTGGGTGCTACTGTTTTTCTGCTGCTGACACGGCTACTAGAAAAATCGGTAGTGGCGCGTGGACCCCAAATCGCTAATCTACGCAGGAAAAAGAGTGTAAGCTTTGTTGGCAGTCTGAGGCGTGCAGCGTACGGGCTGCAAGCCGTGGGGAGGAATCTGTAGTTGGGGCCCGACGGGTGGCCGGACCCCATGAGCGGGGACACCACAGGTGGGACTCTGGCCCGTCCGAGCCCAGCCTGGCCGAGTCCAGCCTGGCCGAGTCCAGCCCAGCCGAGCTCGTCTGCTGCCCCCCCCATGGGCGGGAGCCTTCCTGGGCAGGACCTGGCAGGCGGGGCCCCTGCAGGCGGTGCCCCGGTGGGGCCCCGGTGGCACCCTGCACGGGTGGGGCCCCGGGGAGGGGACCCACGGGCGGGGGGGCCCTGCGGTCGGGTCTGGCCCCGTGGGCGGGGCGCTGGGTGGGCGGTCGGCGCTCGCCAGGGCCCGCCCGCGGGGCCCCTGCAGTGAGGGCTCTCTGCCTCCCGGATGGTCCGAGCAGACGGGGTGGGAGGCCCGCGCCGCATCGCCGATCTCTTTTCCGCGCCGCCGATGCCTCGCCGACGCATCGCCGTTGCCTCGCCGCTGCATCGCCGATGCAGCCACGATGCGGGGCGAGCCTCCGACCCCGTCCGCTCGGACCCCAACGGGGAGGCCTCGCCCTCTGTTCGGCAGGGCACGGGCAGGCGAGCCCTTCGGCTCGACCCATCCCCACCAGGCCATGGCCTCTCAGCGCCACCATCCTCCTCCTCCTCCTCCTTCTCCTCCTCCTCCGCCTCCGCCGCCTCCTCCTCCTCCTCCTCCTCCTCCTCCTCCTCCTCCTCTCCCACCACCCCCGTGGAGGACAGGCCCTCGAAGCTCGAAGGGATCAGCCCGCATCCCCATCGAGCGGGGGGGGCCTCCTATCTGTTCCGCATGGCACGGGCGCGAGAGCCCTGAAGGTCCGATCGAGGGCCCGCTGGTCCCGCCGCTGCCCGCCTGGCCTGCCTCCCCGGCCCGCCCCCCTGGGCCGCGAGCGGGCGGCGCGCGCAGGTGGACGAGCAGACCGTGCGCATGTACCTCTCGGCGGCGGGGCGCTCGGCGAGCGCGCCGCGGCCCGCTCGGCGTGCGGCCGTCGGGCGATCTCGTCGGCTGCGCGCAAGAGTGACCTTTCGCCGGAGTGGCATGTGGTCTGGGCCCACATGTAAAGTCGGAAATTTGAGCATATACATAACAGTGGCGGGCTGTTTTACAATCCCAGGATTTTTTAGGGTCGGGGACGACATCGGGGTGGTGTGGTGTATACTTTTTCCCCGCTTTCCCGGGGAAACAAAGAAGACTGTATACACCAGGATCCCGTATACACAGGGATCCGCTTTCCTGTGCGAGTTTCAATTCGGGGCTGGAAAAAGCGTCGGTGTATAGAGTTCGGCTCCTTATAAGGGGGGGCGCAATCAAAGGGGCCCTTGAGGGCCCCTAAAGGGGCCCTCGGGGTCCGAGGAGGGCACTTTTCTCCCCCCCCATTTATCGCCCCCCCATTGATTCGCGCGCAACCGCACTGGCGAGCTTGGATGATGTGGATTTGGCCCCCCCCACGTGGCTTCCTTAAGGCCGCGTGCCAAAGGTCGTCACTCTTGCCTAGGGTCACTCTTGCGTGCAGCCGAGATCGGTCCTGCGGTTCTCGAGCGCTCCCTTCTGTGCCCTTGAAGGTTTCGCTGCCTTGGGATGCGTCGCCTTTTCGGATGATCGGTCGTGAAGTTTTTGCGGCCGTTCTCGGTTCCCCCTGAAATGGATGGGTGGATCAACCCCCGCCTCGTCGGGGAGAGGCGGAGATGTCGGATGGGGTCCCCGCCCGAAGGGGAGCATTCCCAGGCTCCGACGGGTCGCACCCATGCCTACCGCGCCTTCGCTGCCTTGCCCTGCCTCCGTCCTCCTCCCTGCAGATTTGAGTGTGTGTGTGTGCTCTGCGTTTGGGATTGCAGTCCCTCAAGCACACCACTCATCGTTTGCACTTTTGCAGTGTGCGACATCTCGTGCACTGTGCCTTCGACAGTGCTCGATGGCAATCAGCACTTCCGTCTGCTGCCCGCGATAGGGGACTCTCTGCGCCGCCGACTTAAAATTTGTGTTTGTTTGTTTGTTTGTTCGTTCGTTTGTTTGGTTGTTTGTTTGTTTGTTGTTTGTTTGTTTGTTTGTTGTTTGTTTGTTGGTTGGTTGGTTGGTTGGTTTGTATGTTTCTTTGCCTTTTTGTTTGTGAGTATGTTTGCGTGCATGCATGCATGCATGCATGCATGCATGCATGCATGCATGTATGTATGTATGTATGTATGTATGTATGTATGTAGGTAGGTAGGTAGGTAGGTAGGTAGGTAGGTAGGTAGGTAGGTAGGTATGTATGCCTGTCTGTCTGTATGTATGTATGTATGTATGTTTGTATGTTTGTATGTTTGTATGTTTGTATGTTTGTTTTTTGTTTGTTTGTTTGTTTGTTTGTTTGTTTGTTTGTTTGTGTGCGTGTGTGCGTGTGTGCCCGTGTGTGTGCGTGTGTGTGTGTGTGTGCTTGTGTGCGTGTGTGTGTGTGTGTGTGTGTGTGTGTGTGTGTGTGTGTGTGTGTGTGTGTGTGTGTGTGTGTGTGTGTGTGTGTGTGTGTGTGTGTGTGTGTGTGTGTGTGTGTGTGTGTGTGTGTGTGTGTGTGTGTGTGTGTGTGTGTGTGTGTGTGTGTGTGTGTGCGTGCGTGTGCGTGTGCGTGCGTGTGTGGTTTTTTCATCAGGGTGGAGAGGTGGTCGCGGGGGGGATGTCGGAGGAGACAGGCAGGAGGGAGCGCTCGCTTTCGGACTGCCGAAGTCTGGAGGAAGGGGGGGAGGGGAGGGAAGCTCCAGAGGCCATCGGTCGATGAGTTCAGGGAGTGTGTTGGCCCCTCAGCATGCAAGACCTCCTCTCACTCTCCAACCCCACTGCTACCCCCCTGCTCCTCGTGCAGCTCCATGGGAGTAGGGGGATGGACGATGGGCGATGGGAGGCGAAAAGGCGCAGCAGGGAAACGGAGGAGCGAGCCAGGGAAGCCCGAAAACACGAGTCAGGAGGTACGGAGCACGCTTCGCTTCGTGCGGCCTCGTGCTGCCCCCCGTCCTGGATCCTTGACGTCCGATGGGCTGTTTCGTTCAATCCGCGGCCCCAGAGGCCCCGACCCCTTCCGCCGAGGGCAGCCTCCGTGCCCCGGATCCCGACTGTGATGGCCTCCCGGGCCCGCTGGAGCGGGCCCCGGAGGCCGAGGGAGCGAGGAGCCGCGCCGGGAGGGAGAGCCTCGCGTCGGAGGCCTTGGCCCGCTCGGAGCTCCTCCCCGGTCCGTTCTCGGACCTCGCCGGCCTGCCCTCTCCGCGCTCTCGGGCCCGCCCCCCCCTCCCTCGGCCTCGGGGGGAGGGCCTCTCCGCGCGCCCTTCGCCCGAGGGGAGGGGGGGAGGGGGTCGGAGGCGGACAGACCTCCGACGCTGACGCGTCGATCAGCGAAGTAGCCGTTTTCGGTTCGCGAGAGGGCGTCGCGGCCGTCATTCTTGCGGGTCCAGGTCCGTCGGTTTCGGTCTCAGGCCGTTTTCACTGAGGGGAGGCTTCATAAAGGGAGGTTTGTCCACCGCCGAGGGGGGGCGCCGAGGCCACGACGAACAACTGCGCGATCCTGGCAGAGGCGCCCGCGCCGGCGGAAGGGGGGGGGTGGGGGAGGAGGAGGCACGGTCATGCTCGTGCTGAGGCTGCTGGTGATGTTGACTGTGATGGTGACGACGATGACGACGACGATTACGATGACGACGGCGATGGCGATGACGACGAGGATGGTGCTGCTGGTGATGATGGCGATGATGTTGGCGATGCTGATGATACTGATGATGATGCTGATGATGGTGATGCAGCTGCTGATGATGATGATGATGATGATGATGATGCTGTTGCTGATGATGATGATGCTGTTGCTGATGATGATGCTGTTGCTGATGATGATACTGCTGCTGATGATGATGATAAGGACGATTCTGCTGATGGTGGTGATGATGGTGGTGATGATGGTGATGACTATGGATATGATGATGTTGATGATGGTGAAGGTGATGATGGAACTGTGGACGGATACGGCGATGATGCTGATGATGATGCTGATGCTGATACAGCTGCCCATGATGACTATGACTATGATGATGATGATGATGATGATGATGATGATGATGCTGTTGATAACGATTCTGACATTATTCACAAAAGTAATACTCGAAGTTCTAATACTAATGATGATGTTGCTAATAATCAAGATGCTGCTAATCATGATGATGATGATGATGATGATGATGATGATGATGATGATGATGATGATGATGATGATGGCGATTGTGATGATGATGTTGCTTATGATACTTCTGCTGACGACGTTGATGATTCTGATGATGCTGATTCTGATGATGCTGATGCTGATGCTGCTGCCGATGATGATGATGATGCTGATGGTGATGATGATGGTATTGACGATAATGCTGTTACTTCCGATGATGACCATGATGATGCTTATGATACGTATGCTGACATGATGCTAATTTCGATGACTATGATGATTATGCTGGTGATGGTGAGGGTTGTGATTACGACGACGATGACGATGACTATGATGATGACGATGATGATGATGACGATCATGATGATGATGCTGCTGCTGATGATGATGCTGATGATGATGCTGATGCTGCTGACGATGCTTGTGGTGATGATGATGTTGGTGGCTGGGGGTGGTGACGATGCAGCTGATGATGAGGATGATGAGGGTGGTGGTGATGATGCTGATGATGATGACGACCATTACGATCATGATGATGCTGATACGGATGCTGCTGATGATGATGATGATGTTTCTGATGATGATGGTGCTGATGTTGATGTTGATGATGATGCTGATGCTGTTGACGATGATGATGCTGATGATGATGATGATGATGATGATGATGATGATGATGATGATCATGCTGACGATGATGCTGATGACGAAGAATATGGTGATGCCGATGATGCTGCTGATGCCGATGATGCTTATCAAGATGATGCTGCTGATGGTACTGATGCTGACGATGCTGCTGATGCTGATGCTGATGATAAGGATGACGAGGACGAGCATGATGTTGATGCTGCTGCTGAGGTTGAAGATGATGATGGTGATGCTGCCGATGCTGATGATGATGCTGATGCTGATAATGCTGATGATGCTGCTGCTGATGCTGATGCTGCTGATGATGATGATGAGGATGATGACGACACTGATGCTGCTGATGATGATGCTGACGATGACGATGATGCTGATGCTTATAACGATGACGATGGCGATGCTGATGCTGATGATGATGAGGATGATGATGATGCTGCTGCCGCTGATGATGATGATGATGATGATGATGAAGATGATGGTGAGGACGAGGAGGAGGAGGTGAAGGGAAGGATGATGAAGATGACTGAAGATGGGTGATGGTGAGTAGGAGCAGGGCGAGGAGGAGGAGGAGGAGCTTGAGGAGTTCGAGGATTTTTTTGGGGGGAGGGGGGGGGGGTGGCGGTGAGAGGAAACGGAGGAGGAGGACCAGCGTGAGCCCAAGATGTTCAACGATGCTGCAGCCTACCCTGCCGCTCCAATGCCTCTCTCCATACTTCCCTGCAACCCACCCTTTCCACTACACGAGCGTCACCTTGAAAGGCCAGCACCCTACGGGCCTGTCATCCAGGCCAGGGCACCGCTTTGAAAAGGAATCGCCTTGCAGTCTGCTTGTGAGTAATGATATGTGATCGCGGGAAGTTGTGATCATACAGTCCAGCGAGGTGTCCAACAAGATCACCGTTTCGAGAAAGTGCCGCCTCCACCTTTGTAACACTTGAATGGCACTGCGCTTGGGGCCACGAGCGGCGAGGGCGAGGACGACTCAAGCGATAACCCCATGTCGAAACGGGACCGCGCTCCGTCCTTGCAGGTGTTACATCTGCTTCAGGATGCTGTGCATCTAGCACGATCAACAACAGATGCTTCAAACGAACACGTGTCGAACATCAGCCGTCCTCGACCTTTGCACGCAGTGTAAGTTACTACGGCAAACGTATGCCGCGGAGGGCTCCATGTAGAACACGAGTGGGGCCCCATACTTGAAGCTGTTGCACAATGTGCGAGGCGCTGAAGCCAGAGCCTCATTTTGAAACCCACTCCCCACCCCCCTCCATCCTTG